ACATAAGAGCTGCCTGACACTGCAGCATTCGTTCTATAGTGCTATTGCCTAGCAGGGCTAAAAGCACTGACGTCTTTTACAGTTCTGCTATTGCCATTATCCATTTCAATGGGGTTTAAATGTAAAAGTGAAATTGATGGTGTTAGAGCATGAATTTCAATCACGCTAAGAAAGAAGATATTGATGGCAGCTAGCAAGGGAGTTCTGGACAAAAATACTGCAAGGGAGAAGCTGAAAGGCTGATTGCTGTAAGCCCAGTGACTGTGTCATAAAGTTACAGATCTACCTCACATTAAAGGATATCAGCCCATGTTGCATGACTAAGGATGAGGTGAATTTATCCTTACCAGTATTATAGCAACAGTCTCCTTCCTCCTCGCTTATGTGGGACTTCGTGGGAAAAAATCTCCAAGTCTTCATTCAGCTTTTTAACTGAGGTTTAAGGTGTCCCTTCTCATTCATCTTTGTAGTCTGGGTGATTTCTTGTGGCTACAAACTACCGTGCTTCTTGTAAAAATCATAGCTTTGTAATTATAGCGCAATGAGTCTTTATGGAGCAGTAGAAGAGACACTTTGTACCATACAAATTATAAAGAACGCAGTAACTCAGGGTTAGCAAAACTCATGAGAAAGAGGTAAGGCTGCTTCACAAGAGCTTAATGAGTTGGAGTTTAATTTCCACAGCAGATAACCAGAGCTGTGAGCAACCTGGGCACAAATTGAAAACAGAATCACAAAGTGTTATGTGGTCCATTGAAGCACCTCTGGCACAGCTACTGCTCTGACCCCTGCTTGGATCCAGGCAAACATCCATGGCAGAGTTTCCTCTGGGGCTGTGGTCAGCTCTTCCCTTGCCTGCTTCTGCATGCCCCATGTGCTAAGGCTTAATGCCATCACCAAGAAGCATGCAACTTTCTGAGAAACACAGCCATGTTTTCGGGATATTCACATTTATCTTGGGTTGCAAATGACTGAAAAGGATTGTGTGGTGTTGTGATTTATTTGTATTTGTGCTTCTATGACAGTAGCATGCTCTGTACCTGTTTAACTGGTTTAAATCAAATTTAAATGCTAAGCAAGCTTAAAACAGCAGTTACACAACAGAGCTGTGGTCTGAATTACAGAATTATAGATGAGCTTATAAAGAAGAAAATGAAATTATAATGTAGTATTTCAGACTGTACTCCACAATAAAAATCATCCTTAGCTTCTGTCGTATTTCATCTATCTGGAGGGAGAAAGGGCAAAGAAAGGAATGATCTTCAAAACAGAAGCCCGTCTGCCTTCTTCAGTTTAATGTTTTCAAGCCTACTGTGTCCCTGAAAACTATCCCTCCTAGCTTGAATGACTATCTTACTAAGTAGAACCCTTTGTGCAAGGCTTTCTCAGTCATGTCTCATAAGCATAACGTTCTGTAAGGTCCTGTTACTCCTAAGCAATAATCATGACACAGTCGTTATTAACAGGGTGGAATACAAACTTAGCATTTAGAGTGTTCTTTCTAAGTAAGTTCCCTTTCCCACTTCCTGTTAGTTTGGTGACCCATAATATCTACTCTGCAGTTTAAATCGCAGCCCCAGTTTCTTCCATCTACTTCTTGCTAAGCCTAAAGTGGGAGAAAAGGGCTTGTAGGATCAATATTTCCAAGCCATTAGAGGAAAGGTATGTGACAATGTGCCTAAGAAAACTTGAGGCATAGTGACTGACAAAGGTTCCTAGCAAGCAACAATAATAATCGGTGTGAAGTGGATTTTTATTCAAGATTTCCTTAGGGATCCCCTTTATTACCAAAAGATGCTGTTTGGTGATAAAAATAATTATGTATGTTTAGCAAAACATTTCTGTTGTACTCTTAATAAAATGTCTTTTTCCTCTGCTAGAGTTTTGAGATGAATATGTACCAATGTGTGAAAACATGATTTTATCTTTGTAAGAATTTGTTATAAGCAGTCTTTGAAATGCCTCTCTCAAGCTGCAGGTTTCCCCATTCAGTCTGCACTGTTTCTTGTTTGTTCTCTTGCCAGCAGCATCTGCAGCCAAGGCTTTCTGCAGAGTCAGATCAGAGCATCTGAAATGCAGTGGCCCTCCTTAGTGAGGGACTTCTTCAATAGACTAGAGGTAGGACTAAATAAAAATTGATTGATTTTGTTCAACAAAATAGTCACCTGCATTTCAATGCAAACCTGTCCCCCTCGTCCCACAGCTGTACTCAGTAGAGGTAGTCCTACTTGGAGAAATGTACTGTGGTGATGGTTTGACATTCTTAGCCATATGGTTGGATCCTGTTGGATAAACCCACAGCCAATACCACTTCTAAAGACTCTGAAATGTGTATTTTTCTTTAAAAACTAAGAAAGTGAGATCTTCTCTGACTATACAAAGGAATGGCCACGTAGAGGTGACAATGAATTCCCTGTAAAGGCAAACCTTAACTTTTGTTATGCACTGTCATGGGTAAGTATTTAATCCAGAGTGTTGCAGCACTGCAGACTGAGTCTACATTAAACTGCACTTAATGCTTTCAAGTTTCTGGTATCATTAAAAAGATATAAGTAAAGTACTACAAAATAAATAGCTGTTTCATGTTGCAGGTCTTACTCTTATTTATTGAATTGCAATAGTAATGATAATAATATCTAGTATTGCAGTGGAGGCTACAGTTAAGGGACTAGGGTCTCATAGTGCCAGGACTTGGCAAAATTAAACATAAGATCCTTTCAACAAAGCATTGTCAATGCATCAGTGGAAGTGATTAGTTAAGGTAGGTGTCTAACTTGTAGTTCTTGAGCTGTGTGAGGTATGGTCTGAACATGGGAGGTGGAGGTATGGTCTGAACATGGGACTTGTGTGCAGTGACAGCTGGCTGGGTGATGCTGGTCCGTAACCAGCATCCCTGGCCAGAGGCGGAAGGCTGGCAGCAGAGCCCATTGTGGCTGTGCTGTTTGGCTGAATGGTGACACAGCTGCATACTCACCCTGGTATTTGGGGTGGCGAGGCAGCTGGTGAGCCCTTCTCAATGAAAAGATGCTTTTCTCCATTAGTACTGGAATTTTGTGTTCTTTGTGGTTTAGGCTTATAACTTGGGTAATACTCAGAGAATGTAAAGGCAATGGGCTAAAATACTTAATTTAGAAAGATATGCAAGACTTTCTACAAGGTTTTTCAGGGCAGCTGAACTGGTTCCTTAACAAGGATTGCGTTAATGTATTCCTGACTTTTTGTCTAAGTCCTGCTCATTTCACGTGATTTTATTCAGTAAGTGGATTAAAACCTGTTTTGAGAGTCTGCCAGCACCTAGCATATCTGTGGCTACCAAGAGAAGGAAATGTGGATGTCCAGGTGCATCTGCAAGTTGGAAGGTCTGTACAGGAATCCATCTGGATCCTGTGCTCACAGACAAAGCACTCCTGCACGTAGACCATCAGCAAGCCTAATAGAGAGCACTCTCAAAAGTGAGAGACAGAAAGAGACCTGAGAGCATGAGTGAAAATGAAATTCTAGACCTTTTTTATCTGTGTTGCTTTATCACTAGGTATGTTTTCAGAGCAAGACCTTGCAATTAATTAGCTGAGTTTTCTTGCCTATGATATGAAGATTATTGACATTTCTATAGAAATGATTAATATTCAGTCTGGAAATTACCAGTTTGTCTAAGTAGGGTAAATAGTAATACATCTTGAAAACCAGCTGACATAGTTAATTCACAAAGCTATGTATCTATGTTATGAATGCCCGTTATATCACCTTTTCACTGCTCACATGTGCCTGCACACACACACAGAATCTCACAGTCTTCCTGGGATGCATTAAAGTAAATGAAAAGCCGCTTCTTTTTCCAAAGCCTCTCTCTCATTCTGTATTCTTAAGAGAGGCATAATTAAATGGAGGTGATGGGATTAAAATAAGGAAAGCAATAGTAGACATGTATTTAAACCTAAAGCCTTCTTCTGTTAATTCAGTTGTTCAACTTAAATTTGAATAGAGATTAATAAAGTACACAAATTATAGCACTTTGAATTTGGGTGTGTGCCAGTGGTGTTATATATGAGCAGTGTTGAGCTTCTGGAGCTTCAGCATGCTCATGCATATGCATCTAGTCCTAACCAGAGAAATAATAGCATTATCACCTAGTTAGTAATCAGATAATAGAAAACCCATCTCTGGGAGTTTTGACTGGAATGAAAAATAGTTTCTTGTTGTGTTTATTAGCTGGAATACTAAGGGCTGAGCTGTGGTGAGGTAATGATTGATAGTTGAATACATTTCTGAATGTGGGCATGTAAGCATCCTGATGAAACTAGAATTTGCTGTTTCAGTCCCTCAGTGGCTTACCGGGTCTGCTTTATCTTATGAATTCATTTGTCTTTGCAGTATAATTCTACCTTGCACAGCATGTTGACTGGCATGCTAGCTGAAGTGTTGTTGCAGTTCTTGACTCTTCTTAATTATTCTGTTTTTCCAGTGGAAAAATATACGGAGGATATTAGTATGTATGAATGGTGTCTGTATCGTTTAGCTTCATTTATTGGATTTTTCCTATTCATACCAGTAGACTTCTAATAGACATGGCTACATTTTCAGAAGAAATGGCTATAATTATGTAGAGTAAATTTCAAAACTAGAAAGTTACATGAGAGCCAATATATGAAAGCAAAATGTGCCTGAGATGAGGCAGTCACTGAATTAGTGTTTTGCCCATGTGTCTGATCTCCTATAAATTCAGTGTTACTATAGTACAGCTGTAGTAGCAACATGTTTGTGTATGACTGAATATGATAAATTAGGTACTTGAAAATAAATGTATCGGCTTGCTCTACCTTCTGAAACCTGACGGGCTATATCCAGAAAAACAAAAAGGAGATAGTAGAATCAAGGTGTTTGGGGGGGGGGGGTGTTCAGCATAGACAACACTGCAGCACATATTGACATTAAAAGCTTCACTTTTCAGGCAGCTTCAATGGAGCGCTGAAACGTGTATCTTTCCTGTCTGTCCCATGCAGGGAATTACTGGAATGCAGCTTCTTTTGTTACTTCATCATCCTACCTTCACTTCTCCACCTTCCAAGGGGAAACCAGCGCAGACATATCCTTCTACTTCAAAACATCTGCTTCAGATGGGGTGTTTCTTGAGAATCTGGGGAACACTGACTTTATCAAATTGGAGCTGAAATGTAAGTATGTGCTTCCCCATCACTCTTGGCACCTGAAGCAGGTTCATGTTGGATAGTAGGTTTCAAGTAATGTGTATCATTCAGTAAACTCTGTAAGCTCACTAAATTCTGGGGAAAACCTTCCAAATCAAGCTGCTTGACTTACTTTCAGGTTGCCTTATGTAGGAGGAATGCTGGAAGGATATTTGGATTGTTTATTGAGGGGATAGACACAAAGAAGAATAGAACTGGTAACATCAGTTACAAGAATGACACTGACCTGAAAAGGTTTTCCAAAATTGCATGCCAGATTTATTTCTTGAAAGTGTATGTCTTCAGCTCTGTTGCTTTTCTATTTTATCTCATACTTGTTACGGAAATAGGGAAAAGAAAAAAAAAGAGGGAGGGAGCATCTGAATCAGCGCTGTAAGAAGCCAAAGAGCTGAAAAATTGCATATGATACTTAAAAGCCCTAAAGAATCTCATAAATATAAATCTTTATCAGCATTATCTGTTAATAAAATCGCTGATCTGAAAAAAGAGGGCATAATGATACCAAGAGACAAGTTGATTTTATTATTTAAACCATTTTTAATGGCCCAGGGACAAACTTCCCAAGGAATGTGCCAAAATCCTCAGCTGTGCTTGAATTCTGCTTGGTGAAATTGCAGCAGTTGAACTGGGGGGTGGGGAAATGTTTCATGTCTCCTTTGTTCTCCCTCGACCAGTTTAGCCTGCCATAAATGGGAGCGACAAGAGGCCTGCTGTGCTATGTGCGGCTGTTACCACAGCCTTTAGTGGCACATTAAAGCAGCAGGGTTACATCCATGCAGCAAGCTGCCTCCCAGCACCAGGAAAAACATTCCTGCTTCCTCTTGCTGCAGGAGCTGCTCATGGATGCCAAAGACCCAGCTCTAAGTATTGACGCACGTAAGTCAGCGTCCAACGTCACTGATGTTGGAAGAGAGGAAACTGTTTGCATACCCCAAATAATCTTTGTATGCAGATTCAGTGTGATTTATACAGGCCCATGTAATTTTAAAATAAAAAGGTGGTTTTGATGCTTCCCAAAGTCTAAAGACACAAATTGGAATGTAGAAACTTAGAAACCAACAGGAACTGGTTTCTAAATTTAAAATGTAACTAAATTTTCCCTCTGGGTAGGAGTAAAGTGCCAAGTTCCAAGTGGGTGAGAGCTTCTTTCACTCTTTCTGCAGGGAATTTAGTTGATGTTGCTTAATCCCAGTTTTCTGTAATCTGCAAGTGGTGCAAATCAAAATAGCTCCTATTGAGTCACAGAGTCTCTTTTTTATTAACAAGGAGTACAGCCCTTTAATAATGAAGTGACAGCTATTTCTAATTTCACCTTGATTCTAAGTAGTACAGTCAGCTGAGGTGGGCATTTCCAGAGCTTCTTGCTCTTCTACTGTATGGAAAGGCATTGTTAGCCACTGTAGTTACGAGACCAGCCATGCTGTTAACTTACCTAGAAGGTGACAGTAACAGTGAATAAAGGTGACTTGGTAGTGACTATAATTCTTTTGAACCCAGCGCAGTTTAAATGGCAATCACCTACAGTGGGTCACTGAGTAGATGCACCAGCTCCTGAAAGCCTGTGGCTGGGGACCCAGAGTATCATTAAACACAAGTTTCATTTTAAGCCTGTGCTTGAGATCCACTGACTTCGCTGTGATCTTGCATATGCATAAATTCAACCTGTGCTTCATGTCCCTGAATCTAAACCTTAGATTACAAATTCCCGAGGGTAGAAATACAAAATTTCACCTGTTAAAACACTGTGAGATCAAACAGACTGGTGCTGCTTAAAGTAATAAAATACTTGTGATCAGAACTTTCCTGACTATGTTTGCTAAAAAGTACAAAGCAGTTCATTCAATGTAATTGCATTCTTTCCTGGGAACTACTGCTTGAAATTTTTAGGGCCCCAGAAAATAGGTCTTTCTGTGACTTAAATGTTCTACCGGTCACAGCTCAAAAAGAGTTGAATGCTGTGGGTTTAGTAACAAAGAGAAACTCATTCTCTCTTCTGAATTACATGTTTGTTTAATGAATGTTTGTTTATACAGTTTTCATGGGGCTTTTTCATTCAAGTCTGCATTTGCTATCTTTTTTTATTCACTCAAATGAAAAGTAAAGATTCAGAATTTCAGAAGTTCCTTACATGGCTTGCAGTGGACTCTGCTGTGCTGCTTCTAAAAAGTCTGTTTCCCCTTTACAGAAGTGCCATAAAATTAATATATGAATTTATTTCTTAATAGGAACATAAAGTTAAGTCTGTAAGGTAATTACAGAATTACCCCTAAACCCTGAAAAAGGTTTCCTTTGGCAAGCTGCTTTCTAGCTAACCCATCAAATTCTCTAGTAGAATCACAGAATAGCTAGGGTTGGAAAGGACCTTAAGATCATCTAGTTCCAACCCCCCTGCCATGGGCAGGGACACTTCACACTAAACCATCTCACCCAAGGCTTCATCCAACCTGGCCTTAAACACTGCCCTCTCCTACAGGTACATTTCTCATAGAGGAAGAATGACTTCCTACAAACCTGTTCTCGATTTCTTTACTTTGAACAGTTCCAAAAGGAAAACTTGAAATCAGTGTCCTAACAACAGAAGGTGCAAATTCTAATTTATTCTTCCCTTATGTGTGAAATACTTGTGTGTGCCTCTAATACATGGTTAGTGATGCATAAACTTAGCTCTACAGAGCAGGAACTAAAAGGTTCTACAATATTCGGTATTTTAATCAGCTTGTTGTGCTTGATGAATACATCAGGGAAGTAAATCATTCAGTCTGTCTGAATACATTAGGGAAGTAAATTATACTCTTACCTTCAAGTCTTTAGAAAGGAGTTTGGTATTGCATGTTTGATTCTGAGCACAAAAGTTGTCGCTAGGCCCATTCAGTAAGTTATTTTACTGTTGTGATGTCCTGAAGCTTCTTCTGGTCTAATAACTGCACAGGTTTTTTTCTAAATCTCTAATGTTATAAGAAAAGGAAGTGGAATTCGCAGTGTCTTGAGGAGTAACTTCATGTGCCTTCAGCAAAGCTCCAGATTGCCATCTCTGAGGAGAGGTGGAATACAGGAAGGGAAGAACATGTTTCTTTGATTTAAGGAATAGCTTTTTCAAACACCTGACAAAGAAGACTGTCATGAAAGAAACTGTGATAAAATGCTACTAGAGTGTGGCTGGAGCCTTTAGTTATTCTATTTATCAAACAGCTCCTCTGGCAGGCCTGTACCTCTCACCATTCGTGGAACAGTTGGCAGAGATGCAGAATTACCTGAAGCCTCAGTTTTTGCATACATCAGTGAATCTACAGAACCCCATTATTTTTATAGCTCTCTGGTCAGCTGACAGTGCTTAGGATAGCTTAGAAAGGAGGTAGGTGGATAAGTATAATTTTTTCTCTAAAGCAGTGCTTCCAAAAACCAGACATCTCTGGTCAAAATTTCCATATGCTTTTTAAAATAAACTTGTTTTTTGTAGAGAGATAAAACCCCATTGTTTTCTCTCTTAGAGCTTTCCTATACATTTTGGGAAGGGTTTAAGCTAAAATCCAGTCTTCCAATAAAAACACAATTGAGAACATTAAGAACACTATTTTTTATTCATTTATACAGGCCCTCTCTCCCCTTTGTCATGGGTGGGTGTTTTTTTTCTTTAACCCTGACCTACATTTTAGGACTGGGAGGTATGTAACCTGCTGTCTACAAAGTTGCCAGGTGAGCAGTGTTGACCCTTTAGTGTCAGTGCCTTTACTAAAAGCAATCCCTCAAAAGCTTGAATGTCATTTTGCAGAAGTGTTTGGCATCTTTCTCATAGCCCTTCATTTGTTACCCTGTGTACCCGAAAGCACCTATGAAGTGACAACATCAAACAGCAACGTGGATCCTCCAGGTCTTTACCAGCAATCCTAATGCTCTTTGGTTTTTAAGCACTTCAGGGTTGAATGTTGACAGATGAAAGATGACAAGAATTTCATTTTGAATTCTTGGAAGACTCTCAGCTCTCCTCCCCATTCAGTTCTTACTTGCAGCCACTCCTCCCTGGCAATGGTAGCTTTGCATAAGGGACTCTGTCTAAAGCCATTTTGCTGCAGAGAAACAAGCCCTCAGGATCCTAACTTGAAACTCTGCAGCAGGCAAGGGGCTGCCTAAAATACAGCTGGATAATGTACCTGAGTAGGGTCAGATGAGCAAGAGTATGGTTTAGTACATTAATAAGATATGGGTAGAAGATTATGGAGAGTTAACGACTATGAAAACCAAACTACTTCATGCCTGTCAGATGTTTGTCAAATAGATCATGTTTGAATTTTCTGATCAAGAGAAATCCCAAGTTTTGAAAGAAATGCATTCCTCAAAGCAAATTTTGGAAGGGCCATGTGCATGAGAATTTGGAAAAAAGTGTCTGCCATCACTGTTTCATGTCAGATTCCCAAGACTGTTACTCTGGAAAGCCTCTGGTGAAATGGCTTCCAGAAAACTTCCTTAGTAACACTGTCATATCATAGAATCATAGAATAGTTAGAGTTGGAAAGGACCTTAAGATCATCCAGTTCCAACCTCCCTGCCATGGGCAGGACACCTCACACTAAACCATGTGAGCCAAGGCTCTGTCCAGCCCGGCTTTGAGCACCACCAGGGATGGAGCATTCACAACTTCTTGGCAACCCATTCCAGTGCTTTACCACCCTAACAGTGAAGAACTTCTTTATATCTAATCTAAGCTTCCCCTGTTTAAGTTTGAATCCTTTACCCCTTGTCCTACCACTACAGTCCCCAAGTATAATATAATTCTGATGATAAAGACACTACTCACTTCTGTAGCTCTTTTCATCCCAACACGTCTAAGCAGTTTACAGGCACTAATGAATTGTGTCTCACTGTTATTCTGAAGTAAGTAAACAAGTCAGTTTTGCAGTAGAAAAAAGAAGAGGCTTAGAGAGATAAAGGTCAGCTTGTGTTTGACCCTGGCATGAGCATGTGAGAGAGAA